AAAACAGAGTGGAACATTGCCTGGGATTGTTGTTGTTAAGTACCGTGGAGCTGGTCCCGACTCTTAGTGCCCCTGCACAGGGTTTCCAAGGCTGTAAATCTTTACAGGAGCAGAAAGCCTCATCTTTCTCCTGTGGAACGGCTGGTAGTTTTAAACTGCTGACCTTGAGGTTAGCAGCCCAATTCATAACCACTACACTACCAGAGCTCCTTGCCTGGGATTAGTTAGCTGAAAACCTTTACTCTGAACAAAACTCCAATAGTGGAAACTGACTAAAGTGAAGCTATTTTTATTGATGCTGCTAGAAGTTTTTAGGACTAGAACTCCACTTGTCTACCCATTTCTATGCAGTAAGTGCTCAGGCACCCCCAGTGAAATTTACAACTGTTCCTAGGACTCTGTGGCAACCAATTTTGACCCTTCCCATAATTCAGTGTCAATAATATATTTATCAACAGATAATATAAAATTCTGAAATTTACATAAGACTTCTAGATCCACTAAACAGACACTTATTAAGAATGAAAACCTATTATCATCAATAAAATACCTGCAGTCTCAACAGACTTTGAGCTCACTTACTTTAAGCTCTGTTTCATATAATAAAATTCTTCAACTACCAATTGATAAAGAAATTTTTACAGTAATTTGAGTTGGTTACAAATGGAAACTAACATGTATTCTTCAGGGCATGAAAAATAACTCATCTTCATGGAGAATTAATAGAGAGAATTTTTTCACAAAGCAAAACCTGGCATTTCTAAGTAGGGTTTAAAGATACAAAACCAACAACTCCTTTTCCATGTCTGCTTCTTTGGAATCAATGTTAATTGATTTTAACAGCAGGGCAATGCTAAGGAATTTCTGCAAACTTCACCTTCAAGCATAAGGATCAAAATATTATTTACTTACTTAATATCGGGCACTGGGGAGGAAGAGTTAATGGTGGCTACTTAAAAAGATGAAAATCCTCAGTGATATGGAATGACACAGTGACTACAACAAAATGGGGTCAAATAGCAATATTTCTGAGACTATTTGTAATAGCAATGATTGTGAGGATGACTCAGGATGAGGCATTGTTTAGTTTTGTTGTACACAGGGTTACCATGAGTTGGAATTAACTCAATGGCACCTACCAACAACAACAACTTAAAAAGGCAAGAAATGGGGAAGGAGGGGAAACAAAAATAGATGTCAGAAGAGACTCTAAAACTTGTTCTTTAAAGTCAAGAAGCTAAGGCAAACAGAAGAAATGATGAAGTAAAAGAGCCAGACAGAAGATAGTTCAAAAGGCAGCTCAAAAATACAAAGAATTATAACGAGGTGTGCAAAGACCTAGAGTTAGAAAAGCAAAAGGTAAGAATGTGCTCAGCATTTCTCAAGGTGAAAGAACTGAATAAAAAGTTAATCCTAGAGTTACAATACTGAAAGATTCAACAGCCATAATATTGAAGAATTCAGGAAGCATGAAAATAATATGAAAGAAATGAAGAGTTGCTGTACATAATGAATTGGTCAATGTTCAGCCACTTCAGGAGGTAGCATATGATCAAGAACCAATGATAATAAAGGAAAAAAATTTTGCCTTGAGGGCATTGTTGAAACCCAGGTTCCGGGAATTGCCGGCTTGGCATTTGGGTTTTTTCACCAATTGGTTCCATTGCTGGAGTTGCTCATTCATCTATACCAAAAAATTTGGAAGACAGCTACCTGGCCAGCCAACTGGAAGAGATTCATATTTATACCCATCCCAAAGAAAGCTGACTCAACCAAATGCAGAAATGATCTAAAATATCATTAATGCCACATGCAAGTAAAAGTTTGCTAAAGATACTTTTTAAATGGTTGCAGCATATATGTACCAAAAACTGTCAGATATTCAAGCTGAATTGAGAGGGAGATATGGAACGAGGAATATCATTGTTGATGTAAGAGGGATTTTGGCTAAAAGCAGAGAATACCAGAAAGATTTTGTCTGTTTTTTATTGACTGTGCAAAGATACCTGAGTATGTGGATCATTACACATTAATGGATATCATTAAGAAGAACAAGATTCCAGAACACTTAATTGTGCTCAGGCAGAACCTATCCATAGATGAAGAAGCAGTTGTTCAAACAGAATAAAGGGGTACTACATGATTTAACATCAGGAAAGGTGTGTCAGGCTTATTCAGTCTGTATGCTGAGAAAATTAATCTGAGAACCTGGTTTATATGAAGAAGAAAGTGGCATCAGGATTGGAGGAAGATTAACAACCTGCAATGTGTAGATAACACAACTTTGTTTGTTGAAAGTAAAGAGGGAATGAAGTACTTACTGATGAAGATTAAAGACTGCATCTTTCAGTATGAATTACACCTAAAAAAATAAAAAAAAAAAAACAAAAATCCTCACAATAGAACCAACAAGCAATAACATGATAAAGAAAATACTGAACTTGTCAAGAGTTTCATTTTATTTGAATCTGCAATCAACACCTATGGAGGCCACAATTAAGAAACCTTTGGGCAAATCTGCTATAAAAGACCTTCTCAAAGTGTTAGAAAGCAAAGATGTCATTTTGAAAACTAAGGTGCACTTAATACAAGCCATGGTATATTCAATCACTTTATTTGCATTTGAAATCTGGATATTGAATAAGGGAGATCAAAAAAGAGTTTATAAATTTGAGTTTTGGTTTTGTCTTTAAGCGTGGTAGTTACGAATCGGACTGTGAACCTTAAGGTCAGCAGTTCGAAACTACCAGCTGCTCTGCAGGAAACAGATGAGGCTTTCTGTTCCTGTAAAGATTTACAGCCTCAGAAACCCTGTACAGGGTCGCTATGGGTTGGAACTGACTTGACGGCACTTAACAACAACAACAATTGACTATACATGGGCTTCCAGAAGAATGAACAAATCTGCATGGGAAAAATTACAGCCAGGATGCTCCTTAGAAATGAGTTGGGGTACCTGATGGTTGCCTCAAGGCCAGAATCTTACTGGAACTGTGGAGCTCACTGGGGCCACCTGCCCTCAGTTCTTCTGAGATTGTAGACCGTCAGCAGCCTGGTCTAGACTCACTAACTTTCGAGGCTTGATAAGATGACTTCCCTCTAGGTTTACATCAGTGAGCCCTATTCTACCCCCACTGTGCAGGGGGAAAGCTTGGCATGTCCATACAAGCATGCGCTCCAGCATCCAATTGGAATCTCATTCATATTTTTCTTTCTATTTGCTAAGGACCTACAGCCTAGGTCATTGTCTTCCTTTGAAGTCAGGATTTCCTGAGTAGTTTAGCACTAAAGTCAATGGTGGTGGTTGGTAGTTATGTGCTGTGGAGTCAGAACCGACTCATAGTGACCCTGTGCAGGGTTTCCAAGGCTATAAATCTTTGTGGGTGCAAAAAGCCTCATCTTTCTCCCACAGAATGGCTGGCAGTTTCAAACTACTGACCTTGCAGTTCGCAGCCCGATTCATAACCCCTATGCTACCAGAGCTCCTTACAAAAAGGGAAAATTGCATAAGTAATTAGTAATTTCTTTCTTTCTAGGCTGGTGTGGTGCTGTAGGATAAGTACTGGACTGCTAACCACAAAGTCAGTGGTTCATATCCACCAGTCACTCTTGGAGCCCCTACGAGGGTCACTATGAGTCAGAACTGACTTGGTGGCACTTAACAGTAACAAGCTGCTTTTAGTTAATTTCCCATTTCTTCATTTTCTTATTCATGATGGTGGAGGTCAAGTTAGTTGTGTGCCGTTGAGTTAGTTCTGATTCACAGTAACTCTGTATAGGGTTGCCAATACTATAAAACTTTACCGGAGCACAAAGTCTTATCTTTCTTATCTGCAGTGGTAGTAGATTTGAACTGCTGACCTTGTGGTTAGTAACCCAGCTACTACGCTACCCAGGGTCCTTCTTATTAATGATATTTGTGCTTCAGTAAAGGTTTACTCATTTGCAGCCTGTTGTTTGTATCAGTTTGGTTCCTGTAGTGAAGTCTCAACCTCATGTTTGTTTGTCTTCTCTCAGCCTTGTTGCCATGGGAATGATTATATGACGGCACATTTCAATCTTAACTTCAAAGCACCCTGAAAGAGAGGGAAAATGGGCAAGATAGAAGTATGCTTTTTGTTGAACACACATCTCTGATTATTATCCAAAGCTCAGGAAATGGGAAGTTCAGAGTAACAAACAATACATTAGTGATTAAATATATGTCAAATGGCTTGGTATATAATGGTGGTGGTTATGTGCTGTGGAGTCGATTCTTACTCATAGACACCCTGTACAGGGTTTCCAAGGCTGTAAATCTTTATGGGAGCAGAAACCTCATCTTTCTCCTGCAGAATAACTGGAAGTTTAGAACTGCTGTCCCTGAGGTTAGCATTCCGATTCGTAACCACTATACTACCAAAGACACCCAAAAAATGACCTCCCAGAAGGATGAGCCCCTGTGATTTAGAAATGAAAAAATGCTTTGTGCTGAAGAAATATGGTGCCTTAGGGGTTCTGTTGAGAAATTAAGTTGGTTTTGAAACTTGGTGATTTGATTCCTTGGTCCCCTGGGTGCACTTGGAGACACATTTGACATCCTTGGGACATCCTAGTCAACAGCCTTGATTTCATGGTATTTGGAGGCAATGAAGCCCAGCAGTCTGATGATATTTTCTGTTGTTTTAGGTACAGGCAAAGAAAGATCACAGAGGGAAAAAAAAGGCAAAGGTTCATGCTCTTCATTTTTCATAAGAAAAACTGGCGCACAATCATTAAATAAGCCAACGTCAAATCGCATATTGTTTGGAGGACACAGAACTATACCACCTCGGTTATGGCGCTTACCATTCAGCTATTTAAAGTGAAATTGTCACCTTAGCTTCATTCCTACTCTGGTAGCAGGATGTTTTAGCTAGCACAATCTCTGTCTATAATATAACTATATATGCTTACATAGAAGCATAAACTTTTCTTTTATAATTTATTTAATTGTTGTTTTTTGTTTCTTCTTCTTTCAGATAAAAATATATACTCTGGAAGAGTACAGTGTTTTATCTGTTTGGGTTGAAAAGCATGTGGAAAGACCAGCACATTTAGCATACCATCTCTTGTCTGACTTTACAAAGCGACCTTTGTGGGACCCCCATTACATGTAAGAATAAATTAAAATACTCTTCTCAGTTAACCTTGATATCATGTATCACATTGCAGTTCATCTTCATTGATCAGATTATAAGTCACTGTTTTGTTAATTAAAGTGTCTTTTTAAAGCTTGCTTTGCAAGAGTTATTCAGAGACAGAAAACAAAGAACATTATAATCATTTGTTTATTTTTCTTCTATATTGAGTTGACGTGCTCCACATATATTTTGTGTAATTCTCCCCAGAACTCTTCAAATTTAATATTATTCACACTTCACAAGAGAGAAGTTCTGAGACTCTCCAAGATGTATATGTAGTGAAGGGATGGAGCCCAAATATGAACCCAGGTCAGGTTCTGAGTTCAACAGTCTTGTATTTTAATACACAACCATTTTGTTTGGAAGAACTGATTACCTCATT